CTGCCTCCTTCTGTCCTAGGAGTCTTCAGCAAACCCACCCTCTCAGCCCTGCCAAGCCCTGTGGTGACCTCAGGGGAGAATGTGACCCTTCAGTGTAGGTCTGAGAGACTTGGCAAGTTTACTTTGATCAAGGAAGGAGAACCAAAGCTCTCCTGGACACTGGACTCACAGCCTCTCTCCAATGGGCAGTTCCAGGCCCTGTTCCCTGTGGGCCCTGTGATTCCAGGGCACAGGTGGATGTTCAGATGCTATGGCTATTACAGGAACACACACCGTGTGTGGTCAGAGCCCAGTGACCCCCTGGAGCTCATGGTCTCAGGTGAAGACCCCTGATCCTGCCCTTTCTGAGATCAAAGGGTTAGCTCAGGGCCCTACCCCAGGAGAGTTCTGGGCTGGGATGGGGTGAATGGATCTAGGGGAGGGTCAGCAAAGGGTCTCACCCTCAGAGGGCAGGAGGCCAACGAGGCCTCCCAGGTGCCCCACCCCTCCTCATCACCTGTATCTGGAAGACAACAGGAGGGTACAGGGAGGGTCTTGAGGCCACAGGGTAGAATTAGAGGAGAGAGTTTGGATGAAGGTGGAGGCTCCATAGGTACCGTCACTCCTCACCCTCTCCCTCTGTCATTCCCAGGATCCTCTGTACAGCCTGGCTCCTCACCCACAGAGCCAACCTCAACAGCTAGTAAATCTCAGTGGCATCTAGACTCAGCAGCAGGACAGTCCTTCCCACCCCAGGGAGCCCCAGTCCCCACCCTCCTCTTGTCCTTATTCTCAGGACCCTCTGTGAAGCCACCTACAGGGCCCACCTCAGCACCTGGCAGGTCACTATCTTGTTTCACAGGGAGCAAGGCCTCCCCCAGGGCAGTTCTGAGTCTCTCAGGATCTCCCTCCCTTCAAATGCTCAAGGGTGGGCTGTGTCCAGGGGGCTGAGAGTCAGGCAGAAATGTGGGGAACCCCGGTCTCCCAGGAGTGCTAATGCTGTCTGGTGAGGAATAAGAGTCCAGGCAAGGGAGAGATGGGGCCTAGGCTTGAGGAGGGACCAGCTGCAGTGGGAAGCAGACAGCCCCAACCCCCCAGGTCCCCATTCTGACCTAGGCAGCCCCAGGATCACACCTCATTCCATGGGATTGGGCCCCAGAATGGCGAGGGAGGGGCTCTGAGTTGGAAGATGTGGGTCCCAGAGGAGGCAGGGTTGAGTTGTGCCATGGGTTCAGGCTCCTCTTGGGGACAGAGACATGGATAATCACTTTCCAGCTGGGCCTCAGTTTCTCCAGGTGTGAAGGGGGGAGGCCTGGCCCACAGAACAAAGCTCCCTGCACAGAACGAAGCTCCCTCTGGCTCCTCCTGTGATGTCCTGGGAGAGGAGGCCCCCAGAGAAGTCTCAAGGACCAGGTCCTGCAGTGGCCTGTCCCAACAACTACCATGATGGTGATGCTGTGCAGAGTGGAGAGCAGGGCCATGGGCAGGTCATGCAAGCTCTGTCCCTTCAGCTTAGGGTCAGCTCTGGAGTAGGGGGGAAACATCCCTGTAAGTCAGTCTCCAGAGTCATTTGTCAGCTCTGTGGCCTCTGGCTGGGTGCCCTGGGGTAGGGAGTCACCTCTGTGGGTCTCAGTTTCCTCTTCTGTGAAATGGGGGTGTCGTGAGGGCTGGAGGTGATGATTCAAAGCCCCACAGGCATCTACAGGGTAGGTGCTGTGGTAGGCACATGCCTGCATATAGTAAGTGCTCAGTTAACGATGGCATTCCTCACTCCTGAAGTCACTCACACCCAAGGCCTGGGCAGCTTCCTGGAGATTCTGATTGGAGTGTCAGTGGCCTTCATCCTGCTGCTCTTCCTCGCCCTCTTTCTCCTCCGACACTGGCATCAGGGCAAACACAAGTTATTGGGTGAGTAGGGCATCTGGGGGTAGCAAGGGTGGGCTCAGGCACCAGCCACAGGGAGTCCAAACAGATGAGGAGAGTCAGCATAGAAAAGCTGCTTTAGCATTTCTATACTACAACCCTCTGGAAAGTGCAGACACAGCTCCTCAAATATCCCCTTTCTCCTCAAACTGTGTGCGGGGCAGGGGCTTCTAAGTTTGTGAGGCTGAGTCTCTGTCTGTCCCCTCCCAGCCCAGAGAGAGGCTGATCTCCCATGTCCTATGAGTACTGTGGAATCAGAGCCCAAGGGCAGAGGCCTGCAGCAGAGGTAATTCTGCCCTCAAAGACCCCAGACTGCACCCGCCCATGGCCCTTCACTGCCCCTCACACTCTGTGTCCTCCGCCAGGTCCAGTGCAGCTGCTAACGTCCAGGAAGAAAATCTCTGTGAGAGGAAGGGGACCCGGGGGGGGGGTGGGGAGGATATGAGGCCTCAAAGGTTCAGCAGGAATGTGATAGGGTCAGGCTGGGGAGGGTCTGGGCTCAGGGGGAGATGAACTAAAACCCCCACTGGGGGCCTCAGGGGACATCACAGCCCCTCCCTGAATCCCATGGCCCCATCTCAGAATAGGGCAGGGGACTGTGGGACTGAGAGATCCCAAGGAACGAACTTCTGTTGTGCCCCCAGCAGATGCTGCCATGGAGGACACTCAGCTAGAAGACAGAGTGGAGCTGGGCAGTCGGGTGAGACCCCTGTTTCTATCCAAGGCACCAAAGGCCTACTGTTACCACATTTAATCCCAAGGACACTCCCCTGTCCTCCTTCAGCTCTCAGCACTGTCCCACAGTGGACCCCTCTCCATTGCCTGCTGTGACCTCACTGCCCGTGGTTTCCTATCACGTGTGGGTCTCTTCTTTGCAGCTCCCTATTCTCTGTCTGATGTCTGGGTCAGAGAGCTCCCCCAGGCCTCAGAGGCTGCATGAATCACCAAAGCACCCAAGTCCCTGGCTCCCCTTCATTCCTTTACCTAACAGTGTCCAGAAAGCTCAATCCTGATAGGTTTGGGTGCTTGGGGTGGGGGGGGGGATTGCAGGCATGGCAAGGAACACAGCTGCCCCACCCTCCCTGCACTCAGGTGGCAAGAGACAACAGACAGATACATGCATGGCATCCTGAATGCAAAAGGCCATTAGAAAAGTAAAGAGAGAAAAGGGCAGAGTGCATGGGGAGCATGGAGAGTGGGACCTGTCTGGGCTGGGAGTGGAGGGACGTTTGATCAGCCATCCCCTGAGAAGGAGCCTGGAAGGAGAGAACAATGGGGACACCCAGTGCACAAGCACCTGCAGCAAAGGAAACTTGGCCGTGAGATGGGCCTGCAGCTGGAGCCAAATGAGCAGGGTCCGAGTGTGCAGATTAGAGGTCAGAACTGCAGGAAGGAAGCGGCCAGGCTCTCCAAGGTCTAGGAAGTCCCTAGAGAGTACGTCAGGAAAGTGACATAATTGGTCACTCTTGAAACAGTGTAGAAACTTAACTAAGGGAGGTCAAGTGGCATCCAGGAGACCTTGTCACTATCACTCCAGTAGAGCCCACATGACAAAGACCCCTAGAGAGTGACATATGCCCATGTGAACCACTCCATACACAAGTAGGGAGAGGCCTCCCCTTCTTCCCCACTGTCCAGGGAATTCCTGGTCATGCCGGACAGATAGGCAGAAGGAGACAAGCAGGTGGGTCTTTCCTCCCCAGACCCCCAGGCCTCCTCCTATCCCAACCACACACCTTCTCTTTCACTCTCCCCCTACTGCAGGCTGCTGCATCTGATGACCCCCAGGATGTGACCTATGCCCAGTTGCGCAGGTTGACCCTCAGACAGGAGACACCTGAACCTCCTTTGTCCCAGGAAGGAGACACTCCTGCGAAGCCCATTGTGTATGCTGCTCTGGCCTTCAGCTAGCCCAGGAGGGACCAGACCCCACACTGCATGGAAGAAGACTCAGGGACTGGGAAGGCCCAGGACTGTCCCAGTGTACAGAAACTAGTAACCCCCAGCCTGGACCTCTAACAATCACTACCAGGACGTTGAGGGATCTTTTGGTAGTCAGCTGATTATGCATCAAAGATAAATAATATCCACATCTATATTTTGCAAATAAAAACTTCTCAATAATCAATGCATTAAAAGAGAAATCAAAATAGATGTAAATGTTTTAACTGATAAGATAAATACTACACATTAAAATATGAAATTGGAACACTGAGAGCCATGAATGAATAAATTACAAAAGAAAAATCTAAAAAATAAATGACCTTGAATATCATATTCAAAATTTAGAAAAAGGCTGGCACAGTGGCTCATGCCTATAATCCTAGCACTCCGGGAGGCTGAGATGGGTGGATTGACCTGAGCTCACAGGTATGAGACCAGCCTGAGCAAGAGTAAGATCCCATCTCTAAAAATAGCCAGGCGTTATGGCATGTTCCTGTAGTTCTAGCTACTTGGGAGGCTGAGACAAGAGAATTACTTGAACCCAAGAGTTGGAGATTGCTGTGAGCTATGATGTCACAGCACTCTAGAGAGGGTGACAAAGTGAGATTCTGTCTAAAAAAAAAAAAAAAGAAGAAGAATTTAGAAAAAGAGTAACAAATTACTCCAAAAGAAGATATAAGGAGCTACTAATGAGAACAAATTAAAAATTGAGGATCCAGTCTCTATAGCACATGTCAGTAATCCCAGCCATTCAAAAGGCTACACAGGAGAACCACTTGAGCCTGGTAGTTTGAGACCAGCCTGTGGTATATGCTAAGGATTCAGATTAATATAAAAAACAATTTGAATGAAAAACTCAATAAAGCTAAAGAAGTTTATTCTTTTAAACATTAGTCACATTGATAAATCCTACCCACAGTGAGCAAGAAAAAGAGAGCAGACACACATTTCCATATGGAAAAGGGACAGGGGCCAGCACTACAGACCCTATAGCATTTTCAAAAATTAATAACAAAACATTGTGAACAACTGTATATCAATATACTAGAAAATGCAAATGAAATGGACAAAATATTCTAAGCTATAATTTACTTAATAGACATAAGAATACATACAAAATCTGAATTTATACAAATATAGCATTTATATGTGGATATATTGTCCACCTTTATATATGAGGTATATGTGTGTGTGTGTACATGTGCATATGTGTGTGTATATGTATATGTATATGTACAGAGAGAGACTCTGTAAACAAAAATGTTCCTGTAATGTAAACTCTTATTCAGAAAGCTTTGATTGTGGACTTTCCAAACACTTACACACTTGTGAAACACACACAGAAGACTACACCCCAAACTTATACAAGTTTTCCATGATAATAGAAAAAAAGAATTATACCCAAACACATTTTATTAGGCAAAGAAAAAGGTGATATCAAAATGTGACAAGGAGGGCAGCACCTGTGGCTCAAGGAGTAGGGCGCTGTCCCCATATACTGGAGGTGGCGGATTCAAGCCCCGCCCCAGCCAAAAACTGCAAAAAAAAAAAAAATCTGAAAAAGAAAATTATAAAATGGGAAAATCATTACAAGATCTCTCTCATGAATGTAAATGTCAATCTCTAAACAAATATTGACAAATAAGATTCATTCTTATACAAAATGGACACTACATCATGACATCGTGAACACACTGTGCTTCTTATATTTTTTATTATTATTTATAGAAAGCAAAGGTAGCTTAATTTTTAGTAAATCAGTATAATTCAATATATTAAGAGATTAAGTGCTTTACTTTGGGAGGCCGAGGCAGATGAATTCCTTCAGCTCCGGAGTTCAAGACCAGCCTGAGCAAGAGTGAGACCCCATTTCTACTAAAAATAGAAGCTGGGCTTCATGGTGGGCATCTATAGTCCCAGACACCACAGCACTCTGTCCAAAAAAAAGAGAGAGCGAATAAATTTTTTAAAGCATAATACATGCAGACAAAGCTTTATTGTTCGAGTATTTTTTCATATACCTGTTAAACATTTGTATACCATATTTGGCAAAGTGTCTATTCTATTCCTTTGCCCCTTTTTCAGAGAGGTCATTTGTTCTCACTTTGACTTGCTTGAGTTTCTTATATATTTTGGGTATTATCCCCTTGTCAGATATATGATTTTCAAACCATTTCCAATAGTCCATAAGTTGTCTCTTTGCTCTGCTGTGCTTTTGTTATGGCAGAAGCTTTGTAGTTTATTGCCATTCCATTTGTCTACTTTTGCTTTAGTTACTTGTGTTTTCAGGGTCATATCTAAAAAGTCTTTGCCCGGGCCAATTCTACAGGGCTTCTTTCCTATCTATTTTGAGCTAACTTGTACATGGGATGAGATAAGAATCCAATTTCTTGCTTCTGCATGTGGATATGCAATTTTCCTAGCACCATTTATTCAAGGGACTGCCCTCTACCCATTGCTTGGCAATGTTAAAATCAATTGACCTTAAATATGTGGGTTTCTTTGTTCCTTTTCCTGCTCTGTTGACTGTTATCTGTTTTCATACCAATTCCACGCTGTATTGATTGCTACTCCTTTGGAGGAGATTTTGAAATCAGGTTGGTTGATGCCTCCAGCTTTGTTATTTTAGCTCAAGGTTACTTTGACTATTGAGAGTCTTTTGTAGTTCCATTCAGATCTTAGGACTTGTTTTCTACTTCAGTGAAAAATGTCATTGGAATTTTGATAAGGATTGCATTGAATACATAAATTGCTTTAGCAAGTACAGACATTTTTACAATGTTAATTCTTCCAATTCATGAACATGGGACATCTTTCCATTTATTTCTGTATTCATTAATTTCATTCTTCAATATTTTATAATTTTCAGCATGAAGATCTTTAAGCTTCTTGGTTAAATTTTTTCCACATATTTGCTTGTAGTTATGTTAAAGGGAATTTTTGTCTTGATTTCTTTTTGGATACTTCGCTTTTGGTGTATAGAAATGCTACTGGTTTTTCTATGTTAATTTTGTATCCTGCAAATTTACTAAATTTGTTTATCAGTTCTATCAGTTGTTTTGATTGAGTCATTAGAGTTTCTGTATATAAAATCATGTTGCTAGCAAGCAGAGACAATATCACTTCTGCTTCTCCAATTTGGATGCTTTTTTAATATCTTTTTCTTGCCTATTTGTTCTCCCCAGGATTCCCAGTACTATGTTAAGTAGAATTGGCAAGAGTATCTTTGAACAAGGATTCACCCATCCTTTCTTCAGAGAACACAAGTTCTGATTACATTGTGGCTGGACCTTGAGTCCTCACATATGTGTGTATCTGGGCATGTGGGTACCCAGGGGAGGGTTGCTAATGCTCAGGGTCACATGACAGTGACAGTTGATATTTAAATGGAGATCAGCTTTTCTCCCAAAATTGTAGTGCTAACCCATTAACTGTTCCTAAAGCTTGAAAGCAGGACCTCCGGATGAGGAGGAGACTTCTAAGAAAAGAAACAAGGGCACCAAGGAGACAGAAATTAGTCAAGGGCTGTATCCAGGAAGATAGGGGTGGAAGCTACTGCTAAAAAGAATTGAAAAGTCCACAAAGGGGGCTGTTTGGTAAAATGAAAACCCATGAAGCATTTTTCTTCCCTCATTTCCTACATGTCCCCTTTGTGCTCATGGTCACAAAGCAGCTCTGTGTGAGATGCACCATCAGATGTTTGCATGTTTCTGCTGGTCTGAGTCAGCTAAGGGCGGTGAATCTGCCCCTTCACTGAAGCATCTCCAGGGCTGGTGGGACAACTGGCCTTGGTGAGGACCCCACCACACTGGGCTGAAGGATGAGCTGAAGGAGGGAGGAGAGCTCATGGAGGCTCTAAGGATGGAAGGGTCCTCTTCACCCTCTTTTGAGAGGGCCCAACACTGGAGGCACTGAGTCTCTTTGCTGCTGGGTCCTGACCCTCAGTGAGACGAGAACAGATGAGGCAGATGGTGGCTGATGTGAAGGGAGACCCTACTTATACCTAAAATGTCTCCATAGACATAGGTGCCTACCTCAACCCTAACCCAGGAGAAATAAAAGTCAGGTTCCTAGGGAGGGAAGTTCTGGGCTGGTGATGTGACAACTCCATAACAGGAAGGACCAAGCCTTTGAGGGGACACACCCTGTGTGTCTGTCTGTCTTTCTGGCACTGTGAGCTCCTTCACCTGCACAGCTGAGACAAGTGGGAGGAGACACCATGTCCCCCCACCCTCATAGCCCTGATCTGCCTCAGTGAGATGTGAGCAGGGGAAGGGAGACCCTGGTGAGGAGGGGAGATCCTGGTCTGGGTGGGACCCACACCATAGCAAGACTCTGCTCTAGCAGGAGAACCTAGAAGCTCAGGAGACTCCTGGAGAGGAAAGGATATTCTCAGCCTTCAGGGACAGATCTCTCATCGGGAACTCTCTTCCAGGGATGAGTCTGGGCCCCAGGACTCATGTGCAGGCAAGTGAGTCTGCTCCAGCTGTCCCAGGTCCCTCCTCATCACTAAGGACAAGGGGACACCCCAGACACCTGGGAATGAGGAATAGCAGCTCTGGGCTGACTGAGGAGGACATCGGGAGGGTCCTGGGCTGAGAGCTGGGATCTGAGGGATAGGGATGTTTTGTGACCCAGCCTCTGATTTCCTTCCAGAGACTCTCCCTAAACTCACCATGTAGGCTGAAAGAGACTCTGTGATAACTTGGGGGATCCCTGTGACCATGTGGTGTCAGGCGACCCAGGACGCCTGAGAGTATATCATCTGATGAGAGACGAAAGCTCAGCACCATGGGACAGACCGCACACTGCAGCCTGGAAACAAGATTGTGTTTCTGCTCTTATTCATGACAGAGCACAGTGCAGGGCAATATCACTGCCATTATTACAGTTCTGTGGGCTGGTCAGAATTCAGTGACACTGTGGAGCACGTGTTGACAGGTGAGAGGACACTCAGGGGTCTCAGCCCCAGGCTCTGCCCTCAGGAAGGGTGTCTGCTTTCAGGGGTATCTCCTTCTCACAGCCCAGCCCTGGGAGTGGTGTGGGAGACATGAGCCCATTTAACATTACGTCCTCCTTCTCTCCTAGCAGTCTACAGCAAACCCACCCTCTCAGCCCTGCCAAACCCTGTCAGGACCTCAGCAGGGAACATGACCCTCCAGTGTGGCTCACAGCTAAATTTGATGTGTTCATTCTGACTCAGAAAAGAGAACATGAGCTCTCCTGGCATTTGTGGACACCCCCTGGGAAGTCCCAGGCCCTGTTCCCTGTGGGCCCTGTGACCCCCAGCCAAAGGTGGACTTTCGAATGCTATGGCTATCATAGGAATAGCCCCCAAGAATGGTCAAAATTCAGTAATACCTGGAGTTCCTAGTCTCAGGTGAGAAGGGCCTGTCCTTGCTCATGAGTGGCTCAGAGCCTGAGACAGGTCCCCCAGCTGAGCTCCTAGGGGGTGACAGGGTGAGGGGAGCCTGGGACTCAGGGCAAAGACACAGAGTATGTGAGACAACAGAGCAGAGACACAGAGAGTGAGGGAACCGTGAGAGCAGGAGGCTCATGAGGAGAGACAGGTCTTCACCTGGCTCCTCCCTGGGTCCTGCTGCTCCCTCAGGGACCAACTTAAATCATCTCCATGAGCGACTCTTACTAGGACACTTTCAAGGGTGGACCTGCCTCCCTCTGTCGCTGTGTGTCTCCCTCTCTCTCTATGAACACACATCTGTATCTACAGACCTACAGTGTTACCTGTGCGATACATTTTACATGGATGTGGGTATGTACACAGTCTTATTCTGTGCCTGCAGCTATGATGAAATACTTGAAGCACGGATGACTGATAAACAATAGAAATTTATTTCTGGGCGGCACCTGTGGCTCAAAGGAATAGAGTGCTGACCCCATATGCCCGGGGTGGTGGGTTCAAGCCCAACCCCAGCCAAAAAAAAAAAACCTCACAAAAAAAATGAAATTTATTTCTCCCAGTGCTAGAGGCAAGGATGTCCATGATTAAGACACCAGCAGGTTGGGGTGTCTAGAGAGGGCCTGGTCTCTGCTTCTGGGGTAGCACCTTAAATGCTGTGTCCCCTGCAGGGGACGAATTCCCTGTCCTCACATGGCTAAAGGGACAGAAAGGCAGGAAGGCAGCCTGGCTGCTTCCCTCCAGCCCTTTTATAGGGGCCCTAATCCCTTCATGAGGGCACAGAGTATGACAGTCACCTCCTAAGGCCCCACATGCTAATGCTGTTACACTGTAAAAAATAAATAAATAAATAAAAATTTGGAAGGGACACAAACACTCAACTCACAGTATATGTAGTCTGCTGTTTGAACTCCCATCTATCTAGCTCTGTTTACTGATATGTGCCTACAGGTGTGTTCTTCCTCCACTCTCCTACATCCACACTCTGGGCATTCAGAAACATACGTGATGATCCACTGACTTGACAGCACCATTTGGAAAACATATCTGCATGTGTGTGTTTGTATTAATATGTACACATGTGCATGTGTGTGTTTATATATGCAAAAAATATGTATATACATTACAAACACACACACATATGCATACCATTGTAGGTGTCTCTAACTTTTAGAGGAATTACTTGACAAGTGCTTAAATGGATGATGAGACACACACACACACACACACACACACACATACACACACCCGGGTGACCTGGCTGAGGAGAGATAAAGGGGAGGCGGTCCCAGGCATTCATCCCTTTGTGCCCCTGACTTTCAGGAGTCCCTGAGGAGCAAACATGGAGCCTGGGTCCTCAGCTACTGATAAATGAAGACTCTTATTACCAGATGAATTAACTTACCTGGTCCCGTGTCTCAAAACTAACAAGGAACAGTCAAGGGCTCAACTACTCCTATTTTGAAGAGAAAATAGTTGCTGCATCTTGGGACACAGGTACATGTGTTCCATAGTGACACAGAAAAAGAATAGGAATACAAATGACATGTGGCGACTGGGGGATTCCAACCATCAGACTAGAGAGAGCTCTGATGCAGAAGAGAAAGGATTCATTAAGGACCTAGAAAATTATACCATGGCAAGTGGATGACATAAGAAAATATAACCCAGACAATGATGGCTCAGGTATCCCCAACCTGACCCCCTTCATCTGATGCTCAGGAGCAGCTGAGACCACCAGCCCCTCATAGGACAAATTAGACCCCAAGACTGATGAATGAGGAGACACTGTCAGTTATGGGGCTGGGCACAGAGGGTCAGGCCCCTATTAGGGGAAGATGGTGTCCTGGGGAAATATCCAGGGATTCTGGTGACTTTGGTCTTCCCTGAGCTCTCTGATCTCTTGTACACAATCCCCAGCCCCATACCCTCAAAATCATACCATGGAGAATCTCATCGGCATGGGCATAACTGGCTTGATCCTGCTGGTTCTCTGGATTCTGCTGTTTCAGCTCAGTACAGCCAGAGAAGCCACCAAGATGGCACCAGGAGGTAGCTCCAGAGAGAGCAATGCACCATCCAGTGTGGGAGAGCCTTGGAAATAAATCTGATGCTCCCAGGAGGTTCCAGAAGAAAATCTGGGGTAGAAATTAGGGAACTTTTTGCTGCAAATGTTGAGAGGTGGAGACCTGACCAGGTTCAGTGGAAGGTCTGGGTGTCTTCAGAGGACTTTGCCACCAGCAGACTATGGTGCTTCCCTCCCTCCCTTTGCTGACTTTCCTTGCCTGCCCCCTGGCCCTGCCCTTTCCCCTGTGACATGAGGGCACATCCTCCAGGGAAGGTTTTAGTTCACTTTTCTTTGCACGTTATGCAGCATTTTTTTTTTTTATTTCTAACAACCCCTTTCCTGATAGGTACAACTGATTATCTTTTCAATTCTCAATATATATTTGAATTAAATGACTGAATTAATTGGCAAATATCAGATTCCAAGTTTCAAAAGATAGGTCCAAATTGATGCCCCAGCTCCTTGTGTGGACTTGACTTCCTCTTCGCTCCTCATCAAATGCTAACTGTGTACTTTGTCCAGAAATATCATCAGTTTGAATCTATACTCTGGTGCTTGAAGAGTCAGCTTTGTGGTGTGCTGCTAAACCAGATCGCTGGGGGAAAATAATTGAAAAAATCCCTGATTTATAGCATTTGCTGATTACATTGGTATAAATAATCCCTTCCTGGCCAATTTCAAGGAAGGTCACAGTGAGGTCATTAGATGCAGAGTTGAAAAGTTGTAGGCAGATTGTCATTTACAAGTGAGTATGAGCCAGAGACAGCACAACTTGGTGAGAGTCCCAATGTACAGCTATGTTTCTTTTTATTTAAAGTTTATGATAATTTCTGCCTCCTGGTTATGGTGCAGTGTTAATAAATTGTGATGCCAAAATCATACCACAATGAAGGGAAAAGAAATAAATAACAACATCAATTTTGGCGAGATGAAACATGTAGAAGTTTAGTACATTACTAGTAGGAGAGCAAATTGCTTTGATCGATTATGAAAAAAGATTGGAATTATCTGGTTAAATGGAGGAGAAACACAGCTATGAGCCATAAGCACATGCCCCAGAGAAAGTGTGTCCTGATTTGTCCTTCAAGGCTAGGTGTGTCTCCTGGAGACAGCATATGGATGACTTGTGCTTTTTTATCCAATCAGCTAGCCTGAGCTTCTTTAGTGGTGAATTCAGTCCATTGACATTTATTGGGAGAATTGATAGGTGTGGTGGAGTTCTAGTCCTCTTATTTTACAAAAGTCCATTGCGTAGTTTTATCCTTTGCACCATTGTGGAAGCTAAGTTTTGACCTTTAGCTTCTGGGTGTTTACTTTGCTTGTGGTCCATTGTGGTGGTCAGTATCGAGAATAGATCCAAGTATTTTTAGTAGAGCCAGTTTTGTTGTGGCACATTTCCTCGGTGCTTGTATATCTGCAAACAAATTGATTTCTTCACCAATTTTGAAGCTCGGTTTAGCAGGATGCAGAATTCTGGGCTGAAAATGGCTTTCTTTAAGAATGGTGACGGTGGATGACCATGCTCTTCTGGCTTGGAAGGTTTCAGTTGAAAAGTCTGCTGTCATCCTAATGACTCTTCCTCTATAGGTCAGTTGGCACTTACTCCTGGCTGCTTGCAGAATTTTTTCTTTCATCTGGACTTCGGACAGTTTCATTACAATGTGTCTTGTAGAGGCTCTGTTTGAGTTGAGATGACCTGGTCTTCGATATTTATCTGAAAGGAGTGTGTCAGGGTTCTTAGTAAAACTTGAGAAGTTTTCATTTATGATTGTCTCCAGTAGGGCTTCAATACCTTTGGGACAATCTTCTTCCCTTTTAGGAATCATATGTTTGAAAGTTTCATGGAGTCTCATAGTTCTCTAAGCACATGTTTTGCTTTCTCTGTCTTCTTTTCTGCTTTTCTTTTTTAACTACCTGGGTTAACTCAAAAACTTTATCCCCTAGCTCTGAGGTTCTTTCTTCTCCATGGTCTAATCTATGTTTGATATTTTCTACTGCACCTTTACATTCCCTCATTGTCTCCTTCATTTCCTTCAGGTCTACCATATCTTTTCTATATTCTACACATCCCTCATACGACTTTTGGTTCTGTCTTTCTATTTTATCATCCATTCCTTTTACTGTCTTTATCATCCATATTTTAAATTCCCTTTCCTTGGATCAACAAACTGTGGTATATGTACACCATGGAATATTATGCAGCCATTAAGAAAGATGGAGACTTTATGTCCTTCATGTT